TATTTTAGTCGTGGGAACGAGATATTATGTCGTGCGCACGAATTACTAAGTCGTAGGAACGAGATACTATGTCGTGGCCACGAGATACTAAGTCGTGGTCACGAAACAATCAAGTCCAGGACACCAGATACTATGCCGTGGCTATAAGATACTATGTCGCGATCACGTGTTACTATGACATGGCCACGCAATAAACAAGTCATGGGCTCGAAATACTATGTTTTGGCAATAAGATACTAAGTCGTTGGAACGAGATAACTAAATAGTGCTCTCGATATAATTAAACAAGCAGATTACACTAGGGTCAAGCTAATTCTTGTCTGAAAACTTATTTAGAAGGAATAAACCAGGGGTCTTTATAGCATAGTCATAACATAAAAATATCATTGCACCTAATCAGCAGATGGCATCTAATAATTTTGATGTCATTTGCTCAAAAATCAGGGTCACAATGTCACTAAATGTGAAATCATTGACAAAACAACAACTTGTGTAGATGGCACTTTTACAGGCAGGTGAAATAGGGACTCCTTGTACTGTAGCACATGTCTAGTAAATAAGGAAAATTCGTATAAACAGTGCAATCTTATTTGTTGTTTATCTCGTGCGCACAACTTAATTATCTATTCCCACGACTTAGTAACTCGTGGCAACGACATAGTTTCTCGTTCCCAAGACTTAATTATCTCGTGGCCACGACTTAGTGATTCGTAGTCACAACATAGTATTTCGTTCTCACTGCTTTAATATCTCGTGACCACGGCTTAGTACCCCGTGGCCACGACTTAGTAACTCGTGGTCACGACATACTTTTTCGTGGCCACGACCTACTTATCTCGTGGCCACGACTTAATTACTCCTAGCCACAACTTAGAATATCGTTCCCAAGAGTCATTTATCTCGTGCCCCCGACTTAAGTATTTCGTGACCACGACTAAGTAACTCGTGGCCACGAAATAGTATCTTGTTACCACGATTTAACTATCTCAGTCACTCGTGGCCACGACTTACTAACTCGTGGCTACGTCATAGAATCTCATGCGCACGAGATAAATAAAACACACGCATGCCACCTTTGTGCCACCGTAATATTTACCTTTAATGGGGTGACAAAAATATAAATCGATGCATGGAATGTATACTTTAGTAGATGAAATTGATGAAAGTATTTTTTTCTATTAAATAATATTAAACATAGTGCATTTAAAACTTAAATTGAAAAATAAAATGTGTTTTAAAAAGGGAAAGAAGAGTGTTAATGTTTAATCTGTCTTAGGATACTAAAGTAAATCATTAAACCTTCGCTAAATTTCCTGTAATAAATCCGATATTCTAGTTAGTGTACTTGAAAATGGCATATTTATTAGCATTTTACTTGTTTCCATAGCTAGAAGTGTTTGTCCGTACTTTTTACTAGATTTGATTAATAATGAATTTTCAAAATTTATTAGCATTTCGTTGAAATGATATCAGTCGGTCATTCTATTTATATCTTATTTTCACTTTCGATAAAAAAAAAGGATTTATATATTGATAGGCACAGCTGCATATAATCTTTTCTTCGCCTGAACCAATTTTACCGATTTGAATGTTGAAGAAAATGATCTTTTTAGTACGGCTTAACCGATTTGAGGCTTACTGTCTTAGATCTTGTTTTTGAGATTATTCTCGAATACTTCTTTTTGACCTCTAAAAATAACATGTCGTTTAGGTTATTTCATTAACATTTTTGTAATATCTAAATGCGGTTTACCTCCAACAAAGGAATATACGTTATACAGAACACAATAATTCTGCACTTTTATATAGTTTTATATACACGCTGCTGTCGATTTATTAAGAAAAAAAGTCTTACATTTTCTGTATAACCTTGATGTATTATTAATTCGTTTTAACTATTTCTGACATGTTATATGACCGTTTTTAAACGTCTGTTGCAATATAACCCTCCCATAGCGTCTTGGGAAATGTTTCCAAACAACCGTTTATATAGGGTCATATAACCTGTCAAAAATCTTTATATTTAATATCATACCGCAAAATAACATTGTATCCCAATTGTCTTATGTCGGCTATAAAAGCAGGTTTAAAATATTAGATCATACTACGTCTTAAATTTTGTTTTCTCTCCAAATATCGGTCATTGATATCATCTTTATTTTTAAGTTCTTCCATGAAATCTATTTTTATAATTAACGATCTTAGGAATTCAGTAAAATTTAAATTCATCACACAATAAAATGTCATTAAAATCAGCATGTTATTAAAAATTTAAGAAGTCCCTTGTAAATAATGTCAGAGCTTTTTTTTTCCTTTTCTTTTTTTTCAATGCTACTCAGAAAGGGTGATAAAGAAGATCCTCAATGATATTCCTAAAATTTTAAGACACACTTGTACACACACGCGCGCGCACGTGCGCACATATACAGAGTTGTTATGTTATAAAAAAAGAACACTACATGGTTGTGTTTTTTATTGTATCACTCTCGTTTATTGTCCTTTATTTCATTCATACGGATACCCGTCCAGAAAACAGTCCAGAATAGCACATGCGTGATATATTACCTATTTTGTATTCCAGGATTTGACTTGTTTTTATGTTTACGTAAACGCATGTCATTTGCTGACTACATTAACTTAGTCAACATTTTAATTCGCTTTCTAGTTATGTTGCATCTGATAACATCAACAAGAGCACCGCTAGGCGGACCATTATATGCCCGAAAGTGATTTTTTTAGTAAAGATGAAGCATTTGTAAGAATTTGGGAATTAAATAAAGTGTTACCTCCTTCAAATAACAATCCTCCTTTGAAGTTTCAATAGTGTGGTCCAAATGGAACTTTAGTTTAGCCCCGGAAATTGTTTTCAGTTCTAAGGTAATAGTGACCTTGACCTTTGACCTAGTGACTTCAAAATCAATAGGGGTCTTCTACCTAATATGGACAATCATACTGTAAAGTTTAAATACAGTGGGCCAAATGAAACTTAAGTTATGTTCCGAAAACTGTTTTCAGTTTTAAGGTAATAATAGTGACCTGGACCTTTGACATTGTGACCCCAAAATCAATAGTGGTCTTCTATCCAATATGGACAATCATCCTATGAAGTTTGAACACTGAGGGCCAAATAGAACTTAATAAGTTATGCTCCAGAAACTATTTTTAGTTTTAAGGTAATAGTGGCATTGACCTTTTACCTTGTGACCCCAAAATCAATAGGTGTCGTCTACCCAATATAATCAATTCCCTATGAAGTTTGAACACTGTGGGCCAAATGGAACTTAAGTTATGCTCCGGAAACTGTTTTCAGATTTTTAAGATAAAAATGACCTTGACCTTTGACGTTGTGACCCCAAATCAATAAGGGTCTTCTTCTAAATATGGACAATCATCCTATGAAGTTTGAATAATGTGGGCCAAATGGAACTTAAGTTATGCTCCGCAAACCAAATTGGACCAAACGGACGGACGGACAGACGGACGGACGCAAGGGGGTATAACATAATATGGCCGAAATTTCTTTCGGGCATATAAAAAGGGATAGTCAAACAAAGTGTGCGCAAATCCGATAACGAGAATAGATTGGCATATGTTAGAAATTTGTTTAACATTATCACAATCTTCATTCTGAAAATTTACCTTGCCATTACATAAATATACTGGAATTTAATACAACTTATTATTGCATTTCTGGCAATTTACTAATTCATTTCTAACAAATATATATATATATATATATATATATAATTTACCACAAACCTATAAAATGTCTGATGAAGTACAATTATTCTCGAGTGAAGAAATAAAAATATCAGTATCGGTTATAATTTGTTTTTAATGTCAAACTACATGCGTGCTTTTCTTTAGTACGTTGTCGTGTCTTCAAAACTTGCGGGGCATCGGAGGAAATCACGAAGCTATCATGTTTGAGGAAAAAAATCATATATAATGTAAAAAAATCTGGAATGAATATCAACTTAATTTCACAATAAATACTTCCGTAATTTAAGTTTGATTCATGCTTCTTTTCGATGACGCGTGCAGTTACACGCACTCGATTACACAATGTGTAAAGCTACAGTCTCACTGACATCCCGGCAGAGCCCCGGTAGACGTCCGGCGTGATCCGGGAACGACCGCGGTACGACCGTGAACAACCGGGGTACATCCGTAACTCTGCCGGCAACGACCGGGATGATCCGGGAACATCCGACATTCGACCCCGGATGGAATGAAATATTTAATATCACCGGGGTGGTTCGGGGTGATCTGGGAAGTATAGTTTTGCCAGCTTCATCCTTAGCTCTGCCGGGAACGACCGTGATACACCAGCGAAGTACCGTAGCTCTGCTGGCACAAACCGGAGATGAATCGGGGTATGATATAGCCGGTAGAGCTACGGTAGAGCCCCGTTGAGTGCTGACAGAGCCCCGGTGAATGCGGCAGAGCCCCGGAGGATGTCGACAGAGCCCCGACGGATGACGATGGAGCTACGATTGATCCCGGTAGAGCCCTGGCAAAGCCCGATTCATTTCAAAAGAATCACGACAATTTGCGATGATTGCATTTGTTTGTATTAAAACCGTTCCCATTTCCCTTCTATCCAGTCTTGCATAAAGATTTTTCAGAAAATCATCATGAATTACTGTTCTGCAACACTAGATATTATATTAGATAAAAAATATGTAACAATCTAATCATGTTCGCGTGTTTTCAATCCACCGGGACTCTGCCTGGATCGTCCTGGGCTCTGCCGGGGCTCTACCTGGATCGACCGGGGCTCTGCCTGGGTCAACTAGGGCTCTACCGGCGTCATCCGGGAACGACAGGGGAAGCACCGGCTCTGCCTGGATGATCCGGAGTGCATTCTGGGTGGTAAGTTGGGAATTACCGTAGTGCTACCGGCGTTAGTGTGACTGCAACAATTATTTCATCCTGAATCGTCCTTGATCATCCCCGTAACTTACTTCCCGGGAGCTTAAAGCTGCGGTCTTACTTACATTCCAGCAGAGTCCCGGTAGACGTCCGGGATGATCCGGGAACGACCGGAGTACGACTAGGAACAACTGGGGTACATCCGTAACTCTGCCGGCAATGTCCGGGATGATCCGAGAATAACCGGCATTCGACCCCTGATGGAATAAAATATATTATAAATCAAAACTGATTATCAAACTGGGGATGATCCGGGGTATAAGATAGTCGGTAGAGCTACGAAAGAGCCCCGGTGAATGCCGACAGAGCCCCGGTGAATGCCGGACAGAGCCCCTGTAAATGCCGACAGAACCCCGGAAGATGACGATGGAACTAGTTTAATCCCGGTAGAGACCCGACAAAGCCAGGCTCTTTTCAATAGAATCACAGCAATTTAGGATGTTTGAACTTGTTTGTATGAAAACCCTTCCCAGTTTCATTTATATCTAGTCTTGCATCAGGATTATTCAGAAAATCATCATGAATTATTTATTAAAAAAGATAAATTATATTATTATGTATAAACGTCATCATTTTCGCACGTTTTCAATCCTACATACAATAAATACAGATAAAGTATAAAATTTATAACATGTAATTCATTCAGTAGTGTTGAGGCACTTTGTAACCTCAGATCCCCTTTCAAAATTCCATTTTATTTAGTTCCGCCCATTGTTTTCTCGTTTACGCATTTTTGTACTTGGGGACCATATGCCGCTTTTCATGGAATGGCACTAACGTGTCACATTGACGGTTCCATGATAACCGCCATATGAACACATCTGCGGATGTTTCAAAATTCTAAATTTTACCAGTTCATGTTAAATGTTGAATTCTGCTTAAGCCGTTGCTAGGGGGCGTGGACGGTAGTTTGCACTTGACAGTACCGTAACGGTTCATGAACAGGCTCAATCAAACTGAGCCTGCAACATTTTCAATTTTGCCGCGTTGGGCTTTCTTTAGGGATTCTTATTTCACTCTATTGTAAGTAATGTACACATGTGCTTTTACAACAAAGCGGACACATAATAATGCCTAAAAGCGACAATGTGGAAACAGGAAGGAAAGAAAAAGTGAAAGATTGTCCTGTCTGTGTGTTTGTCGTTTTTGTTGTTATTATAATTCGTCGAATATTTGTCGGAAAAAATAATGTACTAACATGTGAAATGTTTGTTGTTGTTTTGTCCATCTTTTTATTTTATCCGTTTGCATTATTAATTTTCGCATTTTCGATCTTTTAGCAAATATAGGACACAGCGTAAATAAACCACCAATCTAAGTTACATTATTAAAACGTTTCCAAAATAGAACAGACAAAGATGGATCTGCTTAGTTCTAAGACTTTCAATCAAAACATGAATATAATGCATGAGTAGTGCTAATGAGTGTGTTTCATGTGCTCTGACAAGTCATCAAAGTTGATATTCATATTCAGAGGCGTCTATTGCCAAGTGGTTCACGATTGTTTTACTTCAAACCACTTCTTCCTATCACTGTAAGTTCGTCATGTTCGTATCCTGCAAGCGACTTTTGGGATATTTTGCGTAAAAGAAGCTTTCTATCTACGTCATCGTTTACCGTGATTTTTTGTTGTCTCTATTGCAAGCGGGCAGTTAAGGCTTTGTGAGGTTTTCGTTTACCTCCAGTTATAATCCGTATGATGTGTTAACATTGTGTTTCTTTCGATAATTTTAAATTTACGGGCCTATTGTGTTTCAGTATATATTGGTCTTCAACTGTTTGAAATATGAACACTTTATTTTTTATAGGAATAGCTCTACACCAACATAGCCACTATAAACAGTAATGGAAACAAGAATAATAAATACATATAAAGGTGACGAAGTGCAATTTTATTTAACTGTTTCAATGCAATTAATCGTATTCACGTTGCGTTATTGCTGACAAAGTAATCCTACAGAACCCTTACAACGATAAGAGTAAAAGCATAAACGAAAAATTGCTAAAAAGGGGAAGAAATACATGAAAGAAAATAAAAAAGCACAAAGTCATCCGTTTTATACATCTAAATAAGCTGGTACAATAATGACATTTGTTTTATTTGGTATCTTTATTAAGTGATAATTAGAAACAATTTCTTAACGTGACTAAGATGGAGAAATAACACAAAATTGGGAAAACGTTTGTCGCAGAAAGCCTTGAGGTTTTTTATGAAGTGAAAAAATATTTTAAACGGACGAAATGCAGATGTATAAGTTACAAATACATTGTCGTCAATGCATTTGTAATTTCTTTAAGAACATCTTTATTTCCTATCTATGTATATCACACTAGAAATCAACCATTGAGTAAATAATTATGACTTGCCAGTAAAAATATACATGCCATTCAAGGTGGACTCAGCCCCTAAAATATAGCTAGCTGTAATTAAACAATTATAGGTGTTTGATTTAAAATGGTGAATATGTGTACATGTAAGAGAAACGTATGCTAAGGATACGAGAGAAAATAATAACGTATTCTCAAGCTGTATTTCAAAATAAAATTTAAAAACGGCAAAAAGAAATAGTTTCAATATTCTTATGGACAGCTTTTGAAAGAGTTGTAACAACAAAATGAAATAATACGGAACACATTAATATGCTGCTAATTTAAATAGGGATAGAGCGTTCAGAAATTATTTTGTGCATGCGATTTCCCCTATTTGATGAACAATGCAAACACATTTCTTTCATGCAGGTGTTTTCAAACTACTAATTCTCAAAAATAAAACCAAAAAGAGAACAAATTTTAAATAAATTGAAATAGCGATAATCATCAATAAGCGATTACCTGCCTGAATCGTGCTTTTAACAGATCACTTGGAGCTCTAGTTTCAAAGTACATTGACGACACAGTTATACCCCGACAGGTTAAAAATACTGCATGTTTGACCTAATACGTAGCTTCTTATCATTGTATTGTCCGCCTTAAACTTCAATATGTAAAATTTACCTTTGCAAAACAGACCTCGAAAAAGCACAAAACATTAAAAGACTCTCTATTTCATACGATCTAATAAGAAACAGGCGTTCAACTTAAATAGGCCAAGATCGATTGATACATATATTTCCCCCGCCATAAAGAGCAGAACATATAATTATATAATACAACATGTGTAATAACCTTTTTTAACAGTATTAAAATTAACAATAAATGACATTTAAATGTAAAGTAATAAAATAAATAAATATAAAAACAACATTGTATAGAATAATACAAAGAATATTGCAATATTGTAAGCATATGTGCTGTTTTGATTCAAAGCGTGTCCATAAAACAATAAAAATGGGAAAGAGCGATTGAGTTTCTTTCTTAAATGTCTTCGATCCTTTTTATTAGAATGACGGTGATACTACTTTGTTACGAGGGTTGTTCAAAAGGAAATGACTACACATTTTTGAATTCATATTCTAATAAGTTTATAATTGTTCATATGTATAGCGGTCTTAACTTACAATAACTGTTTGAGCATATTTGTATCATATTACAATGCTTAACTCATGTTTCCTGTGGTATTGAATAACCATGGTAGCATGCTACCGGTGCTGCACATTCGAGTTTGCTTCAAGGCGAATTGTACTTGCAGTATATTCATAACTTGGCGACTGTATTTCCATATAGTTTACCAACCCAGTTTCATCAATAAAATGACACTTTGTCCAAAGTTTACATCATTTAGACAGGCAATGGCTAAACAATCAAGTTTTTAACAGCATTGGACATTGCGTTAAATGTAGAAATTTGACGTCCGTTGAAAAACTTGAAATTTGTGCGATTGTTACATGAAACCACAGACTATCTATAGTCCTTCAGCTACAAACAAGGGTCTTATATATAAACGAAGCTGAAATAAGAGACAAGTAGGTCACCCGCTTTTAAATAGTTCAAGCAATTCCGACAAATAAGAGAACAAAAACAACACAGAGCTATGGCAAATCGGCAAATTAGTGGGCATTTGTGGCGTTAATTGCAAAAGCGCTACAAAAGGAGCGACAGTAAACAAGTCACTCTAATTAATGTACTCAGTCGATTCGCCGATTATGATTAATAAAGTGATAGTCTGTGATCAGGCTGTTCATACTGGTCAACTGATAAATCTTTTTTATATGTTACTGCACATTATTGTAATGTTTATAGAATAAATACTTTTAATTGAATGCATTAACATTAAAATTTTTTACCCATTTAGCTAAAAACTACTTAACAATCACGAGCACGAATAGAGATTGGCCGATTCAATGGCATTTATTTTCGGAGTGAGTAGATAAAATGAGATTGCCTTCTTTCCAACTTCATCAACACAAACGATGATTGGTTATAATTACATGATACGGGATAATACTTACAGAAAGAATGACGGCTTATACATGTTCAATTTGTTTTGCGACGCGTGCGACGGGTTGCGTACCACATGTTATTTTTGATATTTACAGACTTATCATTCTTAAATATGTTGTTTTGATTTTTTTTCAAAGTAAATAGGGACATGTTCCGATATTTTCTCTAAAAGTTGTGTAGGTAAATTGAGAAAAATATGTGAACAGTATAGCCGCAATCATATTCATTTTTGAACAACCCTGGCATACTTTTAACTACGAAATCTTATTGAATGGCGCTGGTGAACAATAAGACAGTGTAGTTTCTTTTTACCCAATGTCACAGTCATAACAGTCAAAATTAAACTTTTAATGATTGCGAAATAAAAAGCACGCTGAAATGTTAATTATTGTAATATTCACATTACATTTACAAAAATAAAAGATATTGTTGTATTTACATATTAAAGAAGGGTATGTACAACAATTCAAAACGCAATTTACATTTGTTTGCTTTAATATTCAATGTTTTGTTTTTTTCCTCTTTAAATTGTTTTCGTCGTGATTTGCTTTTCTGTTCAATACGGTGTATCTTTACTAATACCGGATGTTTTAATTTGCGTCTCAGCAATGGCTTTAGCAGCTTTGAAGCAAAACTTCATCTGCTCCTGTAAAAAGAATGAATTACATAAGTATATGTATCTTATAATTGTAAATATTTAACTCCAACGTGAATTTACAAAGCGCGATTTGTTCTGATAAACTTTGTTGACATTTTTTTTAAAGAAAAATAATTTCTTTATTAGAACCAAATGATGAATTTAAAATAGAGGGGGCAAGTAAAATAGTTTATTCAAATGAGTTAAATTCACCATGCTAGTTATTGCATTTGGTCGTCTTGTCCTTAAGTGTCTCAACGTGTTCAGCACACTAACTTTCTTGTCATAAAAGATCTTTTCCATTATGATTGCGACAGCACAATATATCCCACTTCGTTCACTCCCGTTTCTGCATTAAACATAAACAACATGGTGTTTTCCTTTAAAACAATAACCATTAAAATACTATCTCAAACATTTTCATTAGGATTCTTACGCACATTATTTCAAATTTTACATGCACTTTATATTATTTAGAAGATTATAGTAAGAAACAAATAAAAAAGCTAGAAACCTCATCAAACAAAACTAAACACTTCAATACAAACACACAAAATAATGGTAATAGTTTATCTTACAAACAATGAACTAGAACGTGTGAACTTTCATTGGTATGTGTTATATATTCCCCGACATCTTTTACAAACTCCACAAATTCTTCAGCGTTTTCGGGTATGACATCTTTGGCTTTCCAATTCTTGTATTGAAAATGATAAAAATCCCGTCTATCATCTGAAAACTAACCAAACCATATTGCTGAAACATTGTCTATGTATGATTAATGCATTTTAACAAGTGGTCGTATGTTGGTGCACAATGACAGCAGGTTACCTTAAACCATGAAAAATCTGTTCCGATACATCAAAGCAAAACAATAAGCCTATATTCATAATCTTGTTTGAATAAACACCTAATTTGAACCTTACACTTATTGTTCGAGTTATTGAACACATATGTTAATCCATCTGGCGAAAAAATCATGGTCAATTTTGTAAACTGATATAATCGATACCTTTCCTTTATTCTTGATGGTCATTTTACTAACAGTGTACTGTGAAGTGGATTTGTGTACAGTACAACAAACTGTAAAACATCCTATATCTGTTGAACGATTGTTCGTTGGAAAACACTTGTTGACTGCCTGAAACAGATGCATTGAATTAACTTAAATACAGTTCAAATAAAAATAGAAAATTTAATACTTTGACTTTAATTTTTAGAAAATGTCATTACTAAAAAACATGTAAATTCAATACAATTTCTTAACGTTTTTCTGCTCAGATTATGTTTCTCTGTTTGTCTTTGTTTTTGTTTTTTCAATTATACGACATTCATTTAAGGACATATGTACGAAATCAAACAAAATGATAATATGTTATGATATAAAAAAATGTTAAAAAAAACGTTCATTATTGTGTATTGCATAGTATGTCTTATGTGATACAGATGTAACATACGACTTTTGATTATGACCTTACCATACTTTGCTCAGATATATCCTCAATCGACACTATACAGGAACAATTTTCTTGATAAATCATCGTCAGAAAGTCAAATTCTGTTCCAGGAAGGGGTGATTGTGCCATGATGAGATGGTCTTTAAGCTTGAAACTCTGTTTAAAATCAGTTTATATTTGATAATTGTGTAATAAAACAGTGTTTTTTCTAACATTGAAATTTTAGATGGATATAACATGATTTATGGGAAATTACTGTTGAACTTTGACAATATATGAGATGGGTTTGATTAGTGTATAGTTACATTGAGCTTCTGTTACCATATCAAATCTAAACATGAAAAAATGGACCTTTGCTTACTTTGTTTCGTGGTTGATTACTAATTGGAAGCAGCACAGAAAATAATAGTTATGACTGAAGACAAGAATGAAAAGAAAAGGTGAATGCAAACTATCATATATAATTAAACGTATGATAATACATTGATGTAGACAGCATTGATATAATCCGTGTCGTCATAACCTCTGTTTAAATACAGATGTACCCGATTGTAATTGTCTGAAATGATAAAAAAAATCGTTTATAGTGTTTTTTCACCTTTTAAGATTATATTCCACTTTTTAACTCAAAATGTATCTAAGCAGTCCCTTGCATTTCATTTTCGGCATTACTGTTTGTCACACCTAGTACTTTTGTACTTTATGAGAGATAAAAAAAATGATTTTAAAAGTGCTGTTGCCGTGAACTGGGTTGCTCTAATTAGCCTAAATTCAAAATTGTTATTGTTTTAGTGGTCCAATGTTATTGAATTGAAACAAATATTTTATGTGCATAAAAAAGCTAATTTATATTTTATATGCAACTCTACAGTCCGTTTCTCAATAGATATAGCATAATAAATACAGACAGGACAACATGTTCCTTTATCTGCCAAACTGTAAAGCTTGCAGAAATGATCGATAATATAACATATTAATTGCTTTGATTCTTTGAATATTTACGGACTGTGGAAAATGCATAACTTAAACCTAGTCAAATTAGTACCACAGAAAGTCTGAACACTTGATGGTGTTCTACGTACGATATACGTAGCCATTATTATGAAATTAAACCTATTATCGACTATGAAATAAGTTAATTAAAACTGACAAGTGGCAAGGAAGCCTGAAGAAAAGTACATAACAGGTTTATTTTTTCATTTACGTTTATTAGCTAGCCTGTAGCACAACGAAAGAAACTGAAGCACATAAATCCGAAGATAAAAAATGGATGTCAAGAGTAGATCATGGGACTACTGATTCAAGTATTGAAACAAAAAATAATGGCAAAAATGTTCAAGACCCTTTATTTGAGTGTGATAATCTGTGAGGATAACGCTCAAAGTGATCAAATAACATATTGAATCGAAATTGTAAATAATTCGAAACAAATGTTGTTCGAATCAAATATATTATTCATATAATATTTGTTTATATTTTGTTTCAAATGTATATGATACTTTTTGTCAATAATTAGAAGATATTCATTACCTAAAAGTTCTACTGTATGCATATCTTTGAGCATAACATTTTCATATACTGCCGCTGTACTCGTAATGTCATTTCCAGTATTTTCCAGACACATTAAAAGTTCCTAAAATAGTTAAAACTGAAAATCATACTTATAATGATTGTAATCAACAAAACAAAAATGTTTTTCTTGTTAACATGATAACGAACAACAAACGCGGTGCACTTCTGCAGTGGTCCTTAAAATGTCAGATATTGATAATCAAGTTTGAGTTTATTCATGAGCATTGTTTTCGCATTATCTAAATATATTTCACTCATTTCATAAAAAGAAAATATATTTATATTGGTATTGCCTCTAAAACTGACCTTTTATGTATCATTTATTTTATTCATTTCGCTCGGAATATCATTTTATTTTACTTATTTCGCTTGAAATATATATTTTAATTCACACCGATATATATATATATATCTGAACACACCTGGTATTTTATATCAAACAATGTGTCGTCAGCCCCTTCAATCTTTTCTATAAGGTTTTCATTTTGTATTGGCTCAGAATCAAAGTATAAAGCGTAAGCTAATGCTTTGAAGATGAACTTGTATTGTTCCTAGAAAATATAACTTAATCTACACAAATTTAACATACAACAAGCAAATACTTATGTTATAATAAATTATCCAATTACGTTAGTTATATCTGAAATAAGATGTTTTTTAATGATTATAATGATACATAATTCCGAAAGATAAAATAACACGTAATCGTATTGATGACTTTCAACCAAATGTAAAGTTTAGGAACGGTGTGCTTTTCTTGAATTTTACCTGTAACATTTTCTAAAAGATTAAACAGAACAGAGAAATGTGCTGAGCATATTTATAACAGAACTATTATAGCCATTTATGAAATATTTTTGAGAAGGTAGATTTATATGATATCTAAAACCTAAATTGATATAGCTTACGGTTGTTTGAACCATTTTCATTCGCATCTCTCTCATTTTCTTGACACAAACCGCCACATTAACAGTGCCTTCAGAATGTCCTTCCAAGATAAGTTTGTCAATAGCTATAAATACTCCTGTACGTCCTATCCCGGCGCTATGATTAAAACAAAATGCTTTGCCTGTACAGAAATATCGATTTTAAATCGTTGATTTTAAACATTCCATCAACTTTTCATCAAAAAAAATGTGTTTAACACGTTGCACAAATTTATGCCTTGATTATATTTTATAATTAAAATATTCAAAATCATATTGCTGTTTTTTTTAACCTTTATCTAGTACACTTCCAGCAAACAAATTATGCAAATAAGTTCTATTAAGACTTTAGGTATGAACTAACCTGCAGTGTATAATGACAGGACCATTCAAGGTGGTGTCTATATTTCTAAATTTGTGTCTGAATTCAAGAAGGGTAACGACATCTTCCGGTGTCTTTTTGTCTGGCCAAGCTGTATAATGAAGTTGAACTATGCGTCTGCAAGCTGTTTGCTAAATTATTTTGACATGAAGAAAAAAATGTCGTTGTTAATTATGTCTAATAAAATAGTTTTGAGAAGACAGTTTATTTGATTTGCATATTCATTAAATTACGAATGCATTTGTTTTCAAATATAGGATTGATTGGTTTTACACTATTTCCTTACATGATGTATTGGATAACTTAAAACCCAAAGTTCACGCATTTGCCACGAATACGGATTTGCCGGCAACAATTGCTTTAAATTTGTTGTATGTATAACTTATTCATTATACTCTGTTTTTGTTGCTCGAAACTTCAAATTTCCTTATTGTGTACTCAGCAAATTCGTAAAGTTCTTGACAGAAAACATGTTCATCTCCAAACATTTCGCTTTGATTGACATCAGGCCAATACTGCTCGCATTTCATACCCTTAAATAAGAAAACATACCAGTATGTGGATATCGTAATGTCGGTAATGATACAATTAGCTTAAACAATAGTTTAAATATGGCCATGTAACGCTTACATGAGATACCGTACACTTCAAGAAAATGTCACGATTATTATTCTCACTTTAAGTAAGTGAGTAATAAGGTAACTTTCGGTTTCTTACTTCTCTTACACAAGCTATTTAAATGTAAAACGTTAATAGATGGCTGCAATATCTAAACCCTCGACCGTGTCTACGTATTATAGAACAATACTTAAACGTGTTGTCCAAAACAAAAACAAACAAAACAAAAAAAAAAGAATTAAAAAATGAAAATATTCTCTCCTTATTGATTACATGCAAGTGAACTAAAAGCTGCTGTTATCATGAACAGAAATTGATGCTGCATAAAAGTTTTAATGACTTCGACATTTCTGTATAATACTAGTCAAATAGAAAAGCGAATACCGAGGGTTCATTCAGATTTGTTAGCATCACAATAATCTCTACTTTCATGTGCCAAACCATTTTCCAGAAAGATTTGAAGTTATCGTGTGTTTTTGATGTAGGTCCTGAAATGTGAACGAAATTCTTGTGACATGTTCAAAGTTCGTATTCAAAGGTCATATAACGCACACTCCACCAATTATCATTTTTAACAACTTTTTTGTTTTTGTTTTGAATGATTACAACTAAGATAAAGATTTAAACTAAAATTGTTGAAGCAACTTTGAATTAATATATGTCGTAAACATTTACATTCTGAAGAAAACAACGTTGTTTTCTGTAGTAGACTTGCTTAATACAAATCAACATTGTTTGTGATATAACATATGTAATGTCCCAGTTTCAAACGTATTTCATAGAATATGATAATGTTGTGTGTGTTTTGTAAAGTCATTATTGATTTGGATAAAGGGAATATAACACTAAGTCTATCTAAAGCCCAAAGTCATGATAACCTCTTTTCTTCCACATAACACTGACAGTATTCAAATATTGTTATGTTCTTAAAATATGTAAACATCAAAACAAAATAGTTATTTCCAGAGGGTTTTCATGGTAATATGTGAGTTCGAAATTGTGACCTTTTTTGATATAAGGGTATTGGAATATAATGGAGTCAAAACTAAAAATTGGACCTAATTCCGGACAAAGCTTGATGGATAATTTATCAATACAACTGAGACGTTTGCTGCCGTTTGATTTTGATCTTATTACCTTTATTCTTAAGGTGTATAATATTCAAACCAAATATCTTCCTGGTGACCCACATATTGTCTTAATGTGATTCATATTCAAACTTAAGCTGAATCGTATTAAAATAGCCGCCCTGACAATGTCACCAAAGATGGTGATTAAGTAAAATGTTTGCCATCTTGATTGCAAAAATTATTTATTTTGACCTGGTGATCTCGTCTATATTAAAAATTTATTGTTAACATTATGGCTACTATAACCTAAGACTAACACCAGAACTTGAGTGTTCATAAGAATTGTTCTTTGATTTGTCGTGTAACTATAGGTATACTGACCAAACATAAAGGATATACAATCATATCTGGAGGGGCGACGTGGCCGCGTTGTTAACCCGTCGGACTAGTAATCTAAAGATTGCTGACCGCATGGGTTCAAACCCTGTCAGGGGCAGGCCGTTGTTTCCTTGAGCAAGAAACGTTAAATTCAATGCTTAGAACTATTTTGCTCCATGAACGGACTCGATAGTGTTTCAATAAGCTTATAGCCTCCAGCACTATCGAACTAAAATAAATTTGTATAAAGTTATCATATCTAAGAGACTTATAGAAGTATAAAACATGACAATGTTTGATGAAGATCCAATAAAAACTGTGACAATTAGAGTTATACATCCATGCCGGGTGAATGATTGCCTAACGAATGCAAATATTTTACTAAAATATAAATGAATCACGTGCTCGTAACTAAGACAGTAAAGCAAAGAGCGCTTTAAACAAGAAGTTTAACTATGCTATTGTGACAAAAACATAAAAAATCAAAGAATACCTAGACAAGCTATGTATTCGTTAGGTATGTTGTATCCCTGAAATTAGAAAATAAATAAAGTCATATATATATCTGTAAATAAAATTTAGTTTAGAATTATGTAAAGATTGTAACAAAATGTTATATAAACTAAGTATGCTTTTATTGAATAGTGCGTAATGAAATAAATAGCTTAGTGTTATCAAATTATAATAGACTCACGTCAATGTATGATGCGTTTATGTAAAATTCTGGTTGATTGTCAATTACAACTCTGGTATTGTCATCTGAAAAGGAAACATGAATCATACAAGAGAATCATGACGAATGATCAAACCTGTAATGTGTATAATGATTTCAGTCTTTTATCGGTGTGAGAACTAGAAAAAACTATACATTGGTCCAAACTGTCCTTCCAAAATTCTATAGAAACACTTGAGGTTATATAACTATTATAATATTATTTATTGAAGTATTTAGTGTCATACTATGGCATAAATATTGGTAAGCGAATGAGTATTTGATATAGATAAGGAAAAAAAGCTATCACTTTTCCTTTCTATTTGAATTTTCTAAACAAGTATGCATTTTGGCAACAAATTTGTATATTGCATCATTTCTCATAAAAGATCACAAAGTCAAGTAAATCAAGCAGTGTTTGACAATGAAAATACGCTTAGTTTAAGCTCTTTGCAAAGACTCATTTTATAAATATAAAAAATCTCTATTCAACGTCAAATCCAAATAACAAAATATATTAACACGTTAAATAAATTCATTTCTTATTTATAATATTTTTTCTTAAAGGATATACTAATGCATTTACATCTAGTACATACATGGCACAACATCCCTATATCTATTCTGCGATAGGTTTTTCGGATTGTGTGCGGAAGAACAGGGCAGCTGAAAAACAGTTGGTATTTTCTGAAAGGAAAATATCAGATTGTCAGTAATATCAATATTAATCTTAAGTGATATGTCAAAGAAAATGATTCAAAACTTTTAAATCAAACAAAAAAGATGAACCACTAATTGTGAGCATTCGATATTATTTCATCAGTTATGTCTCTCTGATTTTTAAAATGACGTGAGATATCAAGGTTGGCAAAATACCTGAAACTCAGCACTAACTGATTCATCCGTCTGATTCAATATATAATCTAAGATTTCGGATATTTTAATATGTTCTAGATTATCTATTGTGTGTTGTGTGTTGCAGTATTTTGGTGGTTCTAACATGATATTATCAAACTCTTGTAAATTTAGAGAAATTCCAGATTCTCGCACTTCCGTTGTGTTTTCTTGAATTTTATATACAACAGGCTTCTTATAATGACATACATATTTAGTTTCACGCATTTTATTTGTTCCTGAAATGATAACAAAGAAAATAACATAAAGCATTCTGTTATTTAGTACCATTCAAAAACGCACGTGATTGTTACTTAATGTCTTGAAAACATATTAAAACGTACAGCAGACTTAAGACTTTTTTACATTAAAGATGAAGAAATAAGCTGACCAAATGTGCATGTAAGCTAAGAAGAAAAGCATATTGATATAAAAAAAGTAACTAACGTGAATAGAAAACAAATCGTACATAGAAGATATTTTGTTAAACAATATAGGTTAGCCAAAATTTATAAATGATATAAACATACTGTTTATTGGCATGTTTTGGTATATGTTTTCAGCTTCATGAACCTCAATTGAGACATTTTGATCAAAAGCTGCTTTTGTACATTGTTGTTTTTGTCTGGAAAACAAAACTCAAAATCTATCTATTCCAGGATCAATTAACAAGACGTGCATAAACTTGACGTAAGTGAGTAATATAATGCTTTCCAAACACTATGACACGTAACACTTTTAGAACATGATTCTTTACATGTCCTTTCACAGTGTTATTAACTGACGTCGGGCTTTTGATATCTTATTTTCTTATTTATTGCTCTGCGACCGCCGCCTTTTCTTGTATTCTTAATATCTGTGTTCAGATTACAGCTATTTCACAACAGCCTAGACTAGGTTATTTTATGTCACAATATTTCCGCGTTTTTTATTCAGATTGATTACACTAAACGTGATAACATGTATGCTTTTGGTTATATTACTTAAACAATTACATCCTTGCGCTATCAAAATGTAAGCTATACAAAACTATTACGTATCTAAACGAACGAGAAGCACTATTTATGCAACAATCATGGTAAATTGTAAGTCATTGATTATTGAGTTATTTATCACCTCAATGTAAACGTTTAATATTCTAATTATTCTTTTTTTTTACAAATAATGCACAATTTTATATAGATGTGTAAGGAATGAGACAAGTATTGTCGAAATAAATGTAACTACATTATAGCAAAGATTGATGATCGTTTATGTATGACTAAATATTACCTTTTAAAAATGAAATATGTTCCAACTAATAAAGCAACAATGAATATGATTCCCCCTAATGTATATATAAAATACTTCAAATCAATCGTCAGTTTTGTGGATACCGTAAGGGAATCTGAAAAATAAATAAAACTTTTGCGCATACTGTTTTGTGTTTTCTTTTTCCGTTTTAACTGTATGTTTCTTAAATGGTTTCAAAAATTAAGTGTTCGTCTGTGGCTTACTTATTTAATATATTGTGACAAGCGCATTTATAAAAGAGCAAAGACGAAAACTTTCAATATACTTGTATACATAATTTATTTTAATTTTTACCATTTGCCTTGAGGAAATACAGTTGCTCAAGAACTCCAACTTTATTGTCTATCCTTAGCTTGTAGATGCCGAAATCATCAGCAGCAATTTTGCTGATAGTGAGAATGGAATATAGTCCATTTCTTTTAATATGGAATCTTCTATTATTCGTCAATGTATACCAGGAAGAGCCGCTAAATTTAAACCATTGAAAATCTGGTGTCGGAAAAGCAATTGTTTTAAACGAAAAAGTAACAGTCATATTCTGTGTACTCGTTATGTTTGCTCTAAGATCAAAATCTGGTGAAAGTAGTGGTGTACCTACAATATCCGACAATACATAACATGTATACATATGTACACACTAATGTAAATTGAAGCAATTGATCATAGCACCCTTTAAGTCAATTGACAAAAATGATTTCGCAGAAGACAAAATAACTATTTATTTAGTTTTCGAAAATAAAAAAATGCTGATGAATTTAAGATATTGAAGATCACTTAAACGGATGAAACCGGTTGATGTTTTTCTTCAATTATTATTAGTTTTTCTAATAAATAATTCTAATAAATAATTGCAATGGAAATCGGAAAAGGCATCGTTTCATTCTCTCTCTTTTTTTCATTATTGAAACACAAATAATCTAAAGCATTGCAAGAATTATTGAATAAACTCGCACGAATCAAACTTTAAACATCACGTGAAGGGAATATTACTTACATCTAACACGTAATGTCAACTCTTCCAAACATGGTTCACTATTGTACCTGTTATGTGCTGAACATGTATATTCGCCATCGTCGAAACAAGATATAACTTTATGGGGGAGAACCAAACCTTGTGTAGATTCATTATGCCCTAATTCTTTGTTCTTAAATGATATTGCTATTGAGGAAGATGGATTGCAATCAACTTTACAATTAAAGGAAACCGTTTCGTTTTCAGTTGCTTCAGAATGATCCAGCTTTTCAAATTCAGTTACATAGAACTTGACTATTCTACTTTGATCTGAAAAAATATTTAAAAGAAAATAGTCAATGTTCATAATGTAAGAGGTTCGACGTACATCGTTGCACACTTGGTTCAAGCGATGGAATATAGTAATCGTTTTACGCTATCAATATATATTAACAAAACAAAACTTACATTGAACATCTATTTCAAGATCCGTCGACTTGTTCTTCTTTCTTTCATATTTTGGGAAGTTTCTTTGAATAAAATTCTCTGCAACACATCTATATATTCCCTTGTCATTCTTTGTTATATTTGCAAACGTGAGATATGGATATTTCGTTTTGTCATTCGTAATGTTCCATCTGCATGTCGGAGGAGGATCACCATCGGATCTACACATAACAGTAAAATTGCTTCTTTCTTCAATAATAAGTTTATGGGCTAGTAATTTGCCACCTTTTGCTAAATTGTTTCGTGGAAGGAAATGAAAATACGGTTTACTTGGAGGATCTGAAATTGAAAATTCAATTTTAATTTCTTACATAAAGTTAAGGAGCAATGCCATACGGAGTCATATGTTTTTACAAAATAAAATGAAGATTTTTATAAAGATTTGTTTATACAAACATTATAGTTTTTTTTTTCGTGTGTAAATAGATACTGTTTATACGTTAATGCAGCTACCGCTTTCAAAACAATATTTTTTTGACAGTAACGTAATCAATACATGTACACGTTATATCTCAGTAACCTAAATATACGACGTAGTCCGGAACAAAATATTCGTTCAAAAAATCTGTATTAAATACACATGCATTTTATATAATCAAACATTCATGAAGGGGGGGGGGGGGATAGCATTTATACTCGTATCTGAAATTTGAAAACGTGTCGTAATTCTAATTGTTGTTTTTACATGTTTTTATTGTTTGATAAATGTTTTATTGTATATGCTTACGATGTTCTTGAAATAATTTTATTTTTTATATTTTTAGGGTAAAACGTTAAACTAAAAAAAAAATCATAACATAAAGAAAACTAGTACACATAACAATATAATATACTCATTCGGCGGATACCCACGGCCGAACAATAAGCATTTGTCAGCCGTGGGATTTTTGGTCCATATCCAGTCGACTAGAGGTCTCTCAAAGACAGCTTTTTCATTGGTTGCTTCACGAGTTTACGAATCTATTACAACCAAACAAAACGCTCGTTCTATACGGGGTTCGGTATGACAGACAACATAGCGGCAATCAAACAATACAGCTGTGAAAAATTTCAAAATGTGAACGATTTCAAGCAAAAAAAAGCAAAGTAAAATCACTGATATATTTTATTTTTGCGTTGACGAATATTATTTTGTTAAACGCAATTTCATTGGTCGATATTGTACGCACCTGTACCGACCATGGTTATCCGCGCGATTTAGGCTTCTTTCGCACCTTTATTAATATGGGTTGAGTGTAGGGTTTAGGAGGTTAACAATGTTTTATATTTTCAGCCCATCTACTTTATTTCTTTCAATCACAGAAATACAAGAAAAAACAACAAGTCTTTCAAATAACGAACGTAAACTAATCTTCTAAATATTAGCCTTTTCTTTCCTCCTCAACCTCAGATACATTTGGCTTTTCGTAAAAGATATATGAATACTAAGATATTTAAAATAATTTTAAGAGATGAAGAGTTACATAAATGATATACTTAATCATTTATTTAATATATTTACGTGAAACTGTGCATACATTTTTGTTAAATACATCACATGTTGCATGCACCATTCTAAAAACTGTGAATAGACGCGATGGAAAATTTCAGATGAATCTGACAAGTTAACAATTGTAAGCAAATCAAAGGAACGAAAACTTATTTGAGGACTGGTCAATGGTTACTGGAATATCCAACTACCAACCAAAATGGCGGTCATAGAACTTGTGTAAATTGCCATTTTATCATTATATTGATTAATTTCGAAATCAAATATAATTAATTTCTTATAATATACATCTACAAACTGCAATTGTAAAATGTTTATATAAACGCTCAAATTCATATTTTAAAAGTTACTTTCGCTCACTTTCGTCCAAAAAAAGTCACTTTCGTATTTCAGTCATACCGCTTAGCATGTTAGCGCACCTGTAGAACGAACAGGTGACAGAACGATATGACGCCAAATATAGGGCGTCAACACGCCAAATACGAGTATGGGCGACAAGACGATTTTTTATCTTCGTCTTTTTGCATTAAAATTTCCTTTCAGCGCTTTCAAAAAGGAAAAAAAAAAAAAAAAAAAAAACAGTACGACAAAACGAGAATTTATGTTTTCGTCGTTATATCGTTAGTTCGTGTTACCGGCCTTTCAATCGCGACAGAACGAAATAACGACATTGCAGAAATCAGTCAAACGAACCTAGTTCAATTAAATTCCGACCAATGACTGCTAATGCTTATATACAATTCATCTTGATTATTGCTCGTGGAATACTTTAAGATTTTTAAGAGCAGTTTCGAGTGTGTGAGAAAGTGAATTTTTAGACTGTTATGAAATAAACTATACATGTCCCTAATCAAAGTTAGTTCTCAATGTTCAATACATCTTATTGGTCTTTTTCCTATACACTCTTTGCATATTTTCCTTTTTAGCAAAACGAACAATTGTAGTGGTTAAGTATTTTGTATAAAAGTCAAAGTACTACTTTGTTTACATTTTGCTCCTTTTGCGTAAACAATGTCTGACTAAATGCTACTTTCTGCAAATGATAAGTATCTTATCCACTTCTATAATTATTCGTCTCCATGTACGTCTGCACTTACATTATATATTGTCAATCCAAAGCACCACACAGAATATGGGAAGATTTTAGGACTACATGTTTTGGAATAAAAAAAAACTTGAACAAAGAATTTCTATCTAGATAATATTACACACATCTAATAAAAACATCTTTTTAAATTCTTAATAAACATCTTTAAACAAGAGCTGGTTGAACCGGGTGATGCTCCCCGACTAGGATTTGGACACAGACAAGTAAATCTTTTGTAGTTTCAGAGTTATGTCCCAGACAAAGTTCAAAGTATGATAATTCCAAACTTAGGCAATGCAAAGTTACTGTTCTTTGCACTGCTCTTCTACTCAATGAGATCTAACTACAGACTTGCGCGCGACGTGTCGTCTCAATAAGTGGATCATCTCTGTGAAATAAATGTAAAATCCGACTTCAAACTACAAAGTTATGGGCCGAACACGATTTTGCTTCAAGGTCATGCTGTGAGATTGACCTTCAAGGTGTAGCGACCCAAATGTTTCGCGCGACACATCGTCTCAATATGGTGATAATTTCTCTGAAAAAGTTGTAAAATCAGACTTCAAATAACAAAGTTATGGACCGGACACAACTTTGGGACGTATGAACGTATGTACGGACTGACGGGCGAACAGACGACGGACAACCAGGCGATTGTATGCTCGCCCAAAATTACGTGAAGCATAAAAATAACTATTAATTCTCGTACTTACTGAGATAATATATTAATAAAAATACAACATATAACATGTTGTGTAAATTCAATAAGACGGTAAAACCAATATCGTTTGTAATATAAACTTACATTGGACATACAGAATAACTTCCGTTTTGGTCACATTTGATATTTTATTCGTTGCTTGGCAAATTATACGCGTATTATTTTCCGCTTTTAATGGATTCAAATCAATGCTGCTTTGCACCTTTTCCATGCCGTTTTTTTGTCTAGAAATATTGTTTATCGCTTTTTGTGTTAGATCCGTTTTGATTCCTCTTTTTGATACTTTTATCCATGTAATATTTGCAGCAGGTCGTCCTTCAGAAGTTTGGCAAGTGATTGTTGTTTTGAAATTTTCTATGGCTTGAATCACATTTTCATAAATGTTTACAATCCTCAGGTGTCTAATTGGAACTGAAATAAATTTCCAAACAATTATATTTTAGAATTGTGATATTTATTTTAACACACTTAAAATTAATATTATATAAATAAATTAAACGTTAAATTTATGTTATATAATATTATGCAGACAAAACAAAAATGGATATAGTGTGTGTTTTAAAAATGGCAGCCGGTGTTGCAATACCTATCAGTCAGCATAATGTCAAATTAAACAACCAAATGCTGTTCCTTCGTATTGAAACAAAATGATGCACATACTTGTTACTTAAATGTAACAAAAACAACACATTTTGTTGAGCTATATATCCACCCCTATAAGCGACTTATGTTTTGCGTAAATGCAAATCATATTACGAAATTGCGATAAACAATAAACACATATATTAAATCATTATCTGTCCCGTACTATTAGCAATGACTGTTCGCCACTTCTGGCTTTGAGGTCGCACATGTATAACGATAAACAACTCTTACGGCTTGTTGATAACGGACTGAAGGCTACAACTAAACAAGTGATAATTGCATGCGAAATAACAAAAGCATTTAAAATCATATTATAAATAAGTTTGTTCGGCAAAATCAAGCATTAAAGTTATGTACGGAAATGATTGCGACTGACATTTAAACACCCTCCCTATTTATAAGCAGTGCTTTTATAAATATTTTAACTTCGTTTCCTCTATGGTTGAATAAATACACCGGGAGGTTAACTTTGTTTCTTGAACTAGCACACCAAATGTGATAAACTATTAAGCTGCACATTGATCGCCTTCTTATTGAAAAGAAAAGTTTCTTTATCACAAACTTATTACAAACGGCTGTATTTGCAATTAATTGTTAGTTTACACAATGCAATGAGATTATTAATTTAAACCAGAAAAGCCCAAGAAAAAAAACGTACCTTTTACACTGATATTAGCACGATTGCTTTTTATATAACCATCTATACAGTACCATCCTTGACCATGGTAACTTATATTTACATGTTTTATATTTACTTTGAAAGTACCATTACTGTAACAACTTGTTTCAAAATATTGTTCGTCGGAAAGGAACCCTTCAGTAGTACATTCTCCCTCTTGCGAAAATGTTAATGTTGAATATTCATTTATGGCCTTTGTAGAAACCCAGGTTGTATTGTTTGTGTCTTTAGAAGAATAACACGTCAGTTCCACACTACTGTTTACTAATACGTCATTGAAATCCGGCAAAATTGTAAGATTGTTTGACGCAACATCTGTAAAAACAAATTGAAATTCTAGACAAATCAAATTATAAAATGTAATTTTGTTAATATAAAGTCTTTGTTAACAATGTTATTACTTTTTCATCATTAAAGAAGCACGTCATCTTGTCCTAATTTAAATTATCGAGCTCAATAATAAAACAAAGTGAATACATGGGTCACTTCACCATCTTTTTGCCAAATGGACTTTACGGCTATGGTGAGAACTGTAATCATTCTTTGCAAATTGACCAACACTTGAATCAATTAATTGAATCGGTTGAATTTGCTTTCTCAAAACTATACAATCAGTTTATCACTTGCTGTAATTTCTTCTATGTTAACAATAATTACTTGAAAATGGGTTAAAAAACATCTTAATAGCTTAGGTCGTAATGAATTGGTTATTGGATACATTGAAATAATGAGTAAATAGCAAAATGGAATGTATTGTAGCCACCTCTCACAGGAACTGAAACAATGCGCATCTGAAATGTCATACAATTCCTTTCATACATTGCGTATAATAGTAAAATTTAAGCTACACTGAATAGAAAACTAGAAAATTTCAAATGTTATAATATTTAGTTCCAAATTTGTTTGCACAAATTATTTTTTTCATTCTAAGTTCAAAGCCCTTAAAACTTTTCAATGTTAACACAAACCATTTTTATACAATGTTTAAGGCACTGAAATTATTCAGTCTTAACCTTTGGAAAATAGCATATTGCATATTTGTAGCCAAAATAATGGCTATATACATTTCCACAAAAGTATGAGTGCTGAAACTGAAAGTTCAAATTTTTTCCGACATTCAGGAAAGATATGTTTGTCCAAAATCATTGAACCACGGCCGAATTCAAAACTTAAACTGCTTATTCCTAAGATGTATCTATATTATTTTCAAAGTGAAAGGGACATAACTCTGCCAAAAAATCATTGAACCATGACTAAATTCCAACTTGACCTGCGTATTCCTTTGACAAATCCATATGTCAATTTTGAGTTGAATATGTAACACTGTTGGGTTGATAATGAACAGAAACTGTAAATTTCATATCATTTTCAAAGTGAAAGGTCATTACTCTGCCAAAAATCATTGAACCATGACAAAATTCGAACTTGGCCTGCGAATTCCAAAAACATATCCATATGTCAAATTTGAGTTGAATGTGTAATACTGTTGGGGAGATAATAAAAGGAAACTGAAAATTTCATAATATTTTTAAAGTGAAAGGAGCATAACTCTGCCAAAAATCAACGAACCATGACCAAATTTAAACTTGACCGGCGCATTCATTTGACGTATCCATATGTCAAATTTAAGTTGAAAGTGTAATACTGTTGGGGAGATAATAAACGGAAACTGAAAATTTCATATTATTTCCAAAGTAAAGGGGGCATAACTCTGCCAAAATCATCGAACCATGACCAAATTCGACATTGACCTGTATTTTCTCATGACATATCCATATGTCAAGTTTGAGTTGAATGTGTTGTACCATTGGGGAGATAATGAACGGAAACTGAAAATTTCATAATATTTTTAAAGTAAAAGGGGCATAACTCTGCCAAAAATCAACGAACCATGACCAAATTTAAACTTGACAGGCGCATTCCTCTGACGTAACCATATGTCAAATTTAAGTTGAAAGTGTAATACTGTTAGGGAGATAATAAACGGAAACTGAAAATGTCATATTATTTTCAAAGTAAAGGGGGCATAACTCTGCCAAAATCATCGAACCATGACCAAATTCGAACTTGACCTGAATTTTATCATGACATATCCATATGTCAAGTTTGAGTTGAATGTGTTGTACCATTGGGGAGATAATGAACGGAAACTGAAAATTTCATATTATTTTCAATGAGAAAGGGGCATAACTCTGCAAAAAATCATTGAACCATGACCAAATTTGAACTTGACCTGCGCACTCCTTTGACATATCCATCTGTCAACTTTGAGTTGAATGTGTTGTACCATTGGGGAGTTAATGAACGGAAACTGAAAAAAATTATATTATTTTCAAAGTAAAAGGGGCATAACTCTGCCAAAAATCATCGAACCATAACCAAATTTGAACTTGACCGGTATTTACTTATGCCATATCCATATATCAAGTTTGAGTTGAATGTGTTGTACCGTTGGGGAGATAAGGAACGGAAACTGAAAATTTCATATTATTTTCAAAGTAAAAGGGGCATAACTCTGCCAAAAATCATCGAACCATGACCAATTTCGAACTTGACCTGTATTTTCTCATGACATATCTATATGTCAAATTTGAGTTCAATATGTGCAACGGTAATTAAGATAATGAACGGAAACTGATGATGACGGAAGGACGGAATGACGGAACAGGGTAACACTATATGCCCCTGCCATTATATGGCGGGGGGGGGGCATAAAATAATACAATAAAACATATGATAATGAGCATTATTGATTTTTATTATGATAAATGTAGACATATAGAGTACTGTATAAACTTTTTTCTGATTAACGATTTTGAAAGAGACCAATATATGTTTGTCAAACATGTATGTTCCCTATCGGCACCCAATTAATACTGTGGTCAGGTTATTGTAACTGACTTTTGACCAGTGTATGAGTTTTCTCCTGGTCATGGCTAGTCACTAGGTAATTGTTACTGTTATGGTTGTGTGCAGCAATTTTATGACAAAGTTATCACAAATCTTACCGAATGATATATGTAAAAATTGCATGTTGGCCCCCTAAATGACAGTCATATTTGTTAAAGTACTTATGAAGACTTGACATGTGTATTATACCAAAAGCATTTTTAGTTAAATCAAAAATATCAACCAATGCAACTTGAGTTGTTGAGTGGTAAATGTGAATTTGACCTTTGGCAAATTAAAGAAATTGGGGTTACTTACTTGCCAACACCAGTGAAGTTTGAAGGTTAATGACCCATGAGTTGTTGATGTATTGAACAGGAGGCGTTTTTACATTTAAGGTATTACCACCCTAATGGGCACTATAAGGAACTAAAAATTGACATCATGGGTCAGATATATTCCTTAAAGTACACCTGTAATCAAAATTTTAAACAAAGTTTACCGTACGGAAATGAAGTTATGGCCACTTTTCTGAACTCAAGCTAGGATGTTATGAGGGCCCCTTTTTAGAAATGAGGAACGGAACCATTAAATAATCTGCAATAACATTCTAATGAAAAATGTTGTCCCATTAATTTTTTGTAAGAAACAAAAAGTACCATTCAGCTAACAATCCACATGTTAAGCAAAATTATTGTTTCTACTTAAAATTAATTTTATGAAATCTTTATAAAAATGTTATCCTACCCCACCCATTTGTACCACGTGTATGACCGTTTTCCTACTTAGGGAGCCTAATTTAAAAAATCCTTAAAATTTACCCAAATGGGTTCCTGTTTTCAAAGTTCCCAAAACGTTTTAAATAAGTATATTGGTTGGTCTTGTAAAATATGAAATACTTTTACCGTCTAGTTTTGATTTTATTTTACTTTGAAAATATCAGGTACCATATTTATTACAGGATTTGGCATAATTTAGCCAATAAATACCTATCTAAATCAAAATAAATCATAATTAAACACATTTTTCTTTCCAAATGGGACATGAGAGATACATAAATAATGTAAAAAAGAAAAAAAAGCAAGAAAAAAAGTTGACCCTTCTGGGGATTGAACCCACGGTCCACGTCTTCAATGTAGTTAACAGTAGTTCTAGCCTATTTGAATATTCTTCAAAGCGGATGTAATGCATTAGGATGGTATTACCTTAAGCCAATATTATTTTGACCTCTGAGCCCTTAAGCCAAAACATATATTGAGGTCATCTTCTGACCAAAAACAATGATATGATAAATTTTATGGTAAATGGTCCATGGGTTGTTATGTTATTGATAGGAAACCGTTTTCACATAC